ATATCTGTAATTCCTACAAAAAAAGATCGAAATGGGAACGATATATCTATAATGATACTTGGTACCAAATGGCAACATCATGTTGGATGGGATCCTATAGTAAAGGGCGAATTTATAGCTACACATAATGGGAAGACTATTACAATTCCGCTTTCTACTCGAAAAGAAAAGTATAGTCAAAATGTATCTGACAATATTTTTAATACAGAAAAATGGAATGCTCCAAAAGACTTCAAACTTCCCGATTCAATTAATACTACAACAGCTGAGCAAACACTGGAGGAGCAAAAAAAAAACTAGACGATCGAACGTGTAAATATTGCGATAAGCTGTTTCAATATCCTTGCAGGTTAAAAGAGCATTTGCGCGCAAAGCATAAATGTATTTCGGGCGTACGGCCAATAAATGACAGTAGCCTGACAGTTAGCGACAACATCTTGACAGTTAACAACAGTGTTCTGACAGTAAGCAACAGTGCTCCGTCAGTGAACAACAGTGCTCCGTCAGTAAACAACAGTGCTCTGACAGTAAACAACAGTGTTCTGACAGTGAGCAACAGTGCTCCGACAGTGAACGACAGTGCTCCGACAATGAACATCAGTGTTCCGATGAAAAAAAAATGTGAGCAATTTGTTCCTATTCGATTAATGTTAGCATAATAAATTTGGTTTCATTGTGCAAAGCGTTTATTTTTTTGTTGTGTTAAAAATGGAATAAGTGAATGATATTCGGAAAAATCCTCACTCTGCGGTGGTACCATTGAGTCCATATTAGTGGCCCGAAGGGGCGAGTCTAAAGACTCTCTTTCATATGAGTCAGGTGTAACCACGGAGACTTGTCCGTTCGGGAGTGGTACCACAGCCTCGTGAGGCAAAGCCTCTGATTTTGTGTCTAACTTGGTAAAAATTTCAGCACTACCAGGAGGTTGTGTGTCACAGAGCGCGCAAATATATACATGTCTCGGTGTCGTACGGCTCTGTATTGCAGGGGGGCATGCTACACAAGTCTTATTAACTGAAGAGGCAGGCGTAACCACAGAGCCTCGAAGCTCCGCTTCTTCAATAATACGCCGCCACTCTTTAGTCGGTTCAGAAGGCATTCGATTATTAATTATATCTTCATATCGCTTCGTACCTATATGGTATTTTTTACACATCACACGACATGCATTTGGAATATTTTCCGGTGCGTTTCTGATTTCTTTGATAGCTTCAGGAGTTAATGGGGTGGCATCCGGTCTGAGAAATTTACGGACGCGAGTCTGTTGTGATGGTGACTGGCTGTTCATGACGCACAGAGTGATAATATATTGGGAAAAAAATAATAATAAATTTAATTAAATTCTATATCTAGACTGTACGGCACCAGTTTGATATCGATATATTTCTGCACTATTATGTCGAAGAAGCAAAGCTTGGATCCTTTGGATCCTCAGACAATAATAAACTTATTTCATTCTATACGCTACCCGGCTGCCACACGATTGGGGTATGGCTGAACTTGGGCTCTTATCATCGACCTTGAGATGATAAATTCTGTCCCAGAAACATTTATTGTGAGAATATCGGGATTATTTTTAGATCATACTGAAGTGTACAGCACAGAAGTTTTTCATAAAATTGTTTAACATCTGTATTTTTCGTATGACAGACCTACTATTTTGGGATACCGACATATACTATATGAATATGCGATTCAATTTTAGTTTATCCGTATAATAATAATAATAAGTAGAAATCACACGCTAGATTGTGATATGATATCACAACATCATGTGATCACAAATACCATAATCTTATGAATGTGAAAGTTCGACCAAAACATAATCTATAGCATCCTGGGAAATACCACTCGCAATTTTGTGTGTCGTATCACTTAATGATACTAGGGCGTACGGCAGAAAAAAAAATACTAATTGATTATTTGCGTTTTCCGTATATAACCAAATGGTTCGCAAAAACAAATCGAAAAACAGTCGACGTTGTATGCAGGGTAAATTTACTGAAAACCCGAAGCAGTACTTACTGTTTTGTAATAGAGACAAATACGATCATATTACTGATAGGGGGTTAATAATAGTCGTCAACAGGTGCACAGGTAAAACTAAAGCAATCTTTAATTATGAAGAAGTATGTCGTTATCTGGATGCTATTGATGCATAATAATATTGCGAATTAATTTTCGATGATCGGCGGCGGCTTTAGCGTATCGGATTTAAAATCTAAATTTGAATTTCTTTTTTGCACCTCATTATACAGTGCTAGATCATATGATGTCAGCGGTACCGCAGCCAAAATTGCATGATGTCCCCTTGACGTAATTCGAGATATCGATATAGTATTTCGCATTTAAAAATATATTTGTGTATAGTAATAGTAAATAATTCGTATGTCTCTGCCGTATGCCATCATACAACCATGAGCTATCAGTGCTCAAAGCGCTACACTCCGTAAGTAGTTCTTTTTTCGGCATCTTCATGGGACATACCAGATTTGACTAGATTTTTATACGCTCTAATACGACAATCTCCAAAAGCTAATGTCGTAATGCCATCGGAAAGGATCCATCTTTTTGTATCTAGTGGACTGAGACCGATCTTTGAGGATCGCAACAATCTGATAACATGATCTTTACTTCCTAATCGATGCATTGTTACCATATGCTCTTTTTGTGATTGTAAACATGAATCGTACATGTCATGCGTAAGATTTTTCTTAACTACAACTTTTTGTACTCCCTTAGCCCGCCTATCCGACTTTTCATTTGCAAGAATATAGCTGTATTGCTTCGGGCGGAGAAAGATACCCTTCCACATCGGAATACCGTTGCATTCGTCTTTGAACTTACCTGGGACTTTCTTATTCTTCTTCCATGCTCCCTCCGGTAAATTTTTAACTAACTCGTGCTCGGGTGGGTATTCGCTAAAATCGAAATATTCATGCATCTCAGCCATATCCTTATATACATCCTCGGTTTGGATATGTAGGATAAGGGAATCTGTATCAGTATATGCTAAATCTACCTTATCTCCATAGCGCGCCTTCATAACGTTATAATAGAAATTGTACATGGTAACCTTACTTTCATCTAAAACGCTCTGTCCGACAAAGATGGGCTTACTAAGTTTTACCTTAGATTGATGACGATTAATACCTACCAGATTTTCGGCTAAAATTCTGTGAGACTTATAGCTAGGATCAGCTACCAAGCGTTTGAATTTTTTCGACTCGGATTGCGGTCGGACAAAATCTATTTTTTGATATTTGCGCACGTTTTCCACTGTCTTTCCATAATTGGCATTACCTAAAAGTTTATACATGGCTTTTTCGAAATCATTAGTCGCTAAGGCCCGAGATCTCGCTAACTCTTCCATGAATGGTTTCATCCATGGACTTTGATCAAACTCAATGGCTCTATGAATCTTTGTAAGGCGCATTCCCAGCCTAATATAACACTGAAGTGCTCGGTAATGGACAACATATTTTTCTTTGTTATTGAGATTTGGAACGAGTTTCTTGGTCTTTGTATAATGACCCAATTTAGTGATAAGGTCTTGCTGATATTTTGCCATTTCTTCTTTCGAGATTTCGAGACTTTCGGGGGCGAGCGGATATGCAGTATGTGATTTGTGCAATTTGTCTGGATATTCAAGATCTACTTCCAACATATAACCTTTAGGCGCATCATCCGGAATTTCACACTTACTAACCCTGCTGAAAAGATCTGGAATTTCATCCGAATTTATCCATCTATGCACGCCTGTTGGCATATATTTCATCATCGAGCCTGTATATAAAGCATTTGCGTCTAAATATAAGAGCCATGTGGTGGGCTTTTTTGGATCGTATCCGGGACATTTTGGATTATTGGCTATGGCTTTACGTTTACTCGCCATAGAAATACCTCCACGGATTCCATTTTCACAGAAGAGATACATGTTGTCGTCGGTGAGTAGCTCGATTTTCTGTCCTGTCATCTTGTATAATGCGTCTTCTGCGAATGAAGGAAGCGATACATAATGAGCTATATCAAGTCCAAATTTGGCTTTCATCATTTTTCGATTCGCTTCAAACACATCAGCCAATAACAATACATCAAGTTTGAGATACAAATCATGGTATTCTCGGAAAGTTTTCATACCAAAAGCATCCCATACTTCCTGCGCTCTTTCATAATCTTTCAGAGTGCAAGCGCTTTTATTAAGAATACTGTTAAACGCCTCAATTCGTGGTAATGATGTTTCATCAAACCGTTCAGGACTATCAAACCAATCATATGGGAATTTACCTTTACGGAAGACCAAATCTGAGCGGCCTTTCGGTGCAAATGCACGTGTGATTGGGAATCTTTCTGGGTGTCGACCATCACCAATCCTGTAAAGATGTCCAGGTTTTTTGCATGGCACATCTAATGGTTTTCCTTCCTCATCTACCGGATTAGGACACGGTTCAGCACCTAAATTTGCCACAAGCGAATCAAGGCTTGATGACATGATATGGTAAGAATCCATGTACCTCTGATAGCCAATATCGAAACTTAAATAGTTTTCCATGTTGTGGGGGATTGCGCTAATTTCTTCCTGGCTAACACGCCCCATCGCCTTAGCAATAAAATGTGCATCATATTTTTCCATATTATGGAATCGAATAAGTAATTTCGTCTCCTCTGGTTTTATTCGTAGTTGAAGATTACAAATGCTATGGGCGGGGCCTCGATATTTACCTGTGATATGGTCATGATCTCTGACCTTTTTCCGATTATCCTCAGTGGTACCGCAGTCAAATGCTTCATTGCAAATCCAACATACTTTTGCCGAATTGTACTGATTTTCCTCTTCTTTTGTTAGTTTCTTCATTGGTTCTCCTGGCCACCTGAGCCGCTGGTAAATCTGTGATATAAGACGATACATTTTTCCTACATCGTTTCCTAGCGGTTTTGTTTTATGCATTTCATAAATCTTCTTTAATGAATGTCTTACATCTGTTACCCAATTAATCTCACCCTTTTTTTCATTCTTATCGCTACTTAACTTCCAGGATTTAAAGTGTTTGCAAATAAAAAGAAGTTTGAGATGCATTTCTTTCGGTGCCTTATGACATAAAAATCCGGCATTAGTTAGTTCGCTTAATTTTTCAGCACTATCTCGGATTATATGCCCGCTTGCAAGATAATCCCACATTAACTCTACCTCCCTTCCCATAGCCTTAATAAAATCCCCCGCTGGATCTTCCCCTCTTATCTGAACTGGGGGTTTGCAATGGCCATCACTTCGCACTATGACGTAGTCGAGTCCCGCGGGTTTGTGCTCTTGGATTGCTGTCGTATTCGTCCCGCGGTTTTCATTGATTTTTTGGGTAAAACCTTCTGTGTCTACATAACATGTAAATGGCGCATCCATCATTCGTTCGATTCTTTTGAATTTATATATGTTTTTACCTTCTTTAGGCATCTCCGTTCTTTGCGGTGGATTGTTGATTCCCGCGCAATCTTCCATATGCTTGGCATCAAGTTCCAGATCATGCGTTCGGTGTGAAACACACCAGTCACAGACATAGAGTTTATTATGATGCTTTGTTGTATATCCAGCTAACTTACCTAATCCATCTCGCCCTTGAATTAAGCAATAGTGTTGTGCTGGTTCTCCGGTTTTTGGATCATTACCGGTTATTAATAAAAGTTGAATTAATTTACGCGGTTGACAGTCCCCCTCTTCGTGTTTGCATCTATCATGTACTTTGGATTTAGGTGCGATTCTGATTGGGATAAGATTTTTTTCACTCCATCCATAAATTGATACAGATAGATCTGGATTTTGTTTCTCGAACTTTTCCATTGTATCATTATCTGCTTTTACTGGGAATTGAATTCCGCTAAAATTTAACTTACCTAAGTGTGGGGTATACCAAGAAATTCGTTGTCGATTGTGTTGTGCTGGGAAAATGTCTGCAAGGATACAATATTCAAAGCATCGATCATCCTCATTTTTAATATTGATAATTCCATTATTTCGTTTGGGTAATCCTTTGGGTAAAGGTAGGTGAGAACTAGCTGTTAATGGAACATAGATTGGCATTTCAATATTTACGTCTTCCGATTCTGAAAAACACCAACCTGAGCCTTCACAGACATATACTTCTATTCGCTTTTCAATGTCCCAAATTAGCTCATCTACGATTCTTGGAATATCCTCTTTTGAAGTTACTACAACTGCTTTATTTTTGAATGGAACTTCTTTATAATCTTTTTCACCGTTATCTTCTTCTATTTTATCGTCAAATACCCCTGCTGATAATTTGCTGATCGACTCATTTTTCCTGTGAGGCATAGTCGTGTTTTGAACCCATGAGTGAGATCAAATCGATTATTGAAAATATTTATTATTTGTTCCCTAAGTACTCCAAGAGTATTGATAGGGTCTTGTGCATATATGCTTTCTTTTCCTATCTCAACTTGATAATGATCATCTAATAATTCACATCCCGAGCTAATAATATCTGTTTGATGGAATTGCGGAACATCGGTGGAGCTGCTCGCTTGGCCGTACGGGTGCGCGTTAGAATTTTCTATTGGTATAGAATTATCAGGTTTCACACCTAAATGTTTTAAAAATTCTGTCCATGATTCTTCTAAATCAGAATTATTTTTCTCTTGGTTAACTTCTGAAGTTGGCTCGGTGGGTAGATTATTCTCATTGTTTGCCGGCTCTGGAGCTGGTTGAAGTGGTGGCATTGGATCTTGAGAACGGCATGGATATTTTCGATTAAGATGAATACGAAGTTTAGCTAATTTTGGAAATTCTTTTCCACATCTGTTACATGTATGAATCATTTTATTTGATGTATAATGGTATCAGATTTTATATATAATACTTATAAAATTATTTATTTAAAATAAATTTTTGAATATCACTTCTCGGGAGCAAAATGGTACTAAAATTTTTATATAATACTTATAGCAAACTTATGTTCAATTAAATGTTTACCTCATATACACAGAGATTTTCCCTGCCATACGGTCCTAAAAAGAAAAATGATTGGTGAGTATAATTGCCCGTTTCTTTTATATTCTGGAAAAGTTTGCAATCGTACTTGTATGCAGCCTGAGGGTTGTTGTTTTCATTACAATGCTATAAAACGCTTTCCGTGCTCTGATTGCGGTAAGCCCACCCGCTCTATGAGTGGTCGCTGCCCTGATCATGTTAGAAGTTTTTACGTTGGAAGATATTATCGCAAACGTCTTAAGGCTCAAAGAGCCATTGCTCCGCAATAGAGAAATCGTGCCCTTTGTTAGTTTTTGCAGTGCAAATTAACCCTATTTTTAACTAATTTAGGTGTTAATTCCATCAAAGAAAAATTTGGTACCTAATTTATCGATTTATGCATTAACCCCATTAAAATTTTGGTACCCTTTTGTGAAGTATTGAGAGGTAACCTTTAATTCGCTAAAACTTTTTTGGTACCTTATCTGTGCTAGCCCGCGCTATCATGCATGCCGCGCGGTACAACTTTCAAAAATTTAGTTTTTTACCGCTAATTTTAGTTAATTTGTCGAACTTTTTTATTAACCTTATCTTGCTTGCCTGCGCTATCGCGCGTGCCGCGCGCTTC